AACAGCTATTTTCTATATTTTCTACATGGTATCAAAGGTTAGTTGGGAAGCTCATATATTTGGCACGTACGAGACCAAATATAAATTTTGCAGTCAGCACAGTGAGCCAGTTTATGAGTCAACCAACTAACACACACATGGGAACTGTGTACAAGATTCTCAGGTATCTAAAGAAAATACTAGGACAATGTCTATTTTTCCAAAAGAACACAGACATGGAGATAGGAGTTTATAGTAGAAAATGTAGAATATAACTGTTATTCTAGAAGGAAAACAACTATCATCTCTTTTGTCTTTTCTTGTGTACTGTAGAAAGGAGAATAACAGAATTGGTGGTGTGTCATTTATACCAATTCTGAATATTCCCTTACCCCACAAAATCTGGCTCTGGTGTAGAAAAGTTATTATTTATTTGTGTATAAATATGCTCCTTTGGAGCTGGAAAATGAAAGTAGAAAATAGAGGAAAAACTTCCCTCAAAATAGCTTCATAATTTCTTTAGTATTCTCACTATGGACAAATTAAGAAGGAGGGGGCAGTTTATTGTTAACATATGCTACCTTTGTATGTGTAGAGAGGAAACTTGCAATCACTTACTTTTATGGTGCCCCCTGACCTATAGTGTGTGGTGCATAATTTATGGGCTGCTGGGGATTAATTGGGTTGTGGCTGGGAATGTTAGGGATGAAATTTGAGCTTGGGAGGGGCTTAAGATCAATGGTTGTGTTCCTACTTTGGTTCCATTGACCGTGTTTTGGGTTATTTGGAAAGAACGAAATGTTAGAGCATTTAAGGGGAAAGGAGTAGGATTATATAAATTAAGAGATAGATGGTTTAATTATTTTGGGACAAACTTGTTAGGGCGTGATATGATGAATGAGGAGGATTTTGAGATTGTCATTGATATGCTTACTACTCTATAATTCTTTTGTAAATGGGTTGGTACCCCTGTTTTGGTACCATGTTAATATACTAATACATTTGAATTTTTTTTAAAAAAAATTCAAATGTTAGAAGACTATGCTGTGTTAACATAATCGAAATAGAATTCACACAGTAATTTTGATGGATCAATCCTGATTGCTTTCCACTTGTTAATTTGGAAGTGGTGAAAAATGTTAGCTTCTGTTTGGTAGACAAAAACATCTTGTAATTTTTTCCTTTGCAAATTCATGTATGTTTGTGCATATATTAGAAACCATAGAGGATGGTATATGTATGGCACTCTAGAAATGATATAGGATAGTTTGTATATTGTGTGGCACTCCAAGCATAAACAAAAACAATTTTTTATCTTAATTAAAATTTTACCACATTTATACTGTTATTTTGTAAATGTTGTTTTGATTTTGATGCATAAAAATATGGTCAGTTGCAAAACATAAAATACAAATTATTTCGTATACCAAATGAAGACTTAAACATGATGGTAGATTCTTCGAGATTTTTTTTTCTCATGTAGATTCAGCATTTTCATTTTCTATGCTTAAACAGATGTTACCAGTGTTGCACAATTTCTTTAGTTTTAGAAGAACCAATGTTGGTTGTTTTTTGCTTAAGAGAAATTACTGACTACTCCTAAGGTTTGGAGATGTGCTTTCCTTAAGTATTTGAAAGGCCAGTATTAGGCCATTCGAGGACTATCATTATCTCTTTTGTTTGCAGAGAAGAGAGTTATATTTGTTTGTATGAAACTACTAGGCTGATTCTGTAAGCTCTGTGAACTACGTTGTTTTGGATTTATTCTTCTGGTATACAAAAAGAGTTTATTTGTCTAGTATTTAATTGTTATTTCAATTCAGAAATGCTAATAAATCAGAGAGGAATATCTGGAACGAATATTGGATATTGTGAAGCTGTTACATATCATAAAGTTCAGTAATTCTGATAAAGTATATTTTCATGCTTTTTGAATGTGCTTTCAGACCATTTCTAGTTCTGTTATAATGGTGCATTGAACTAGTGAGAATTGCTTCATAAGGACAATGCCAATTGTCTCTCTATTAAAAACAGATCTGAATTCGGTTTTGACTTGCCAACTTTAGAGTTTGTTAACAAGCATGAGACCTGGATTCCAAATACTTCTAAAGTTATTGTCTTACAGGTTCAAGAGCAACTTAGTGCCACTGAATATAAGGAATTTGTGGGATACATGAAGACAATTAAATCCAAAACAATGAAGATTGGTGATGTTCTGCAGTCCATTGTTGAATTATTCTCTGGACCTGAGAGACATTCTCTTCTTAGAAGGTATCTCTTGTTGTTGCAGTTTTACGACCATCAGTTTACCTTCTTAAATTTTCTTGAAAGCTGAATGTCTCTGTTAAAATCGATACTGTGAGGGTCAGTCAGTGTATACCGGTCTGCTGTACCATCATGAGACCCACAGAAAACAGAAAACAGAAGCAGCTTCAGCTATTTCCTAGGACTCTTGGCTTAGTCAGATGTAATCATAGAGTTCCCTTGCTTAGACTTTTTGGATTATCATTATCTTTGAATTTCAGATGATTAACTTTGATTTAGTATGTAGTTGGATACTAGAAAATTGTAACAATTGTCAGTAGCTTTGTTGTGTATATATATATACACACACACACACACACGTAAGTAGGGATGCATATGTTTTCAAAGAATGACTAAAAGATTTGAAAATTCAGTCTTTCTCTAGAGATCGAGGGTTCTTTGTAGCTAGCCCCAAGCACAACCATAGGTCATCAAGGCTCGAGCAAGTTTCCCACTTCTTGAAGCCTTCTTGGTTAACAGACCTGTGACCATTATCCCAATTCTAGGACCATAACAGTCTGATTTATTTGTCTTTCTTTCACATGGCTCTTATGGCCTTTGATGTACGGCTATCTA